TCCTTGGGCCGAGGGCTCCAGCCTGGCCAGGGCTGGGGGGAAAGGGGTTAACCTGACTGGGGCAGGGCCCTGCCAGGAGGTGGTGCTATGGATTGAATCATGTGCCCTCGAAATTCACATGTTGAGGTCCTCACCCCCAGCGTGACTGTGTTTGGGGAAAGAGCTTTTCAGAGGTAATTAAGGTTCGGTGAGATCGTAATTATGGGATTCTGACCAAATAGGATTGTGGCTTTATAAGGAGATTGGGGGGACGGGTAGAGAGAGAGAGAGGAGAGGGATCTAAGACCACATATACGCACAGTGAGAAGGAGGCCGTCTGCAACCCAGAAAGAGAGCCCTCACCAGAACCCAACCCCACTGGCACCCTGATCTCAGACTTCAGCCTCTAGCCTCCAGTCTCCAAAACTGTGAGAAAATAAGTTTTTGTTGTCTAATCTACCCAGTCTATGGAATCTTTTGTCATGGCAACCCAAGGAGTCCATCAGGTATAAGGGGGAACGGGGACCCCAGCCCTGCTCTTTTCCACACAGTCCTTCCTAGCTCACAGAGAGCCAGGCACCCAGGCCTAGAGCAAGCAGACTCCTGCTCCAGTCTGTCTCGGGTGACAGACTCCCGTCATAGGCTCTTATCCCTTCCCTGGTCTGAACTCCAAGTCTTCACACTTCCTCTTCCCAGAACCCTTTTTCCCAACTCAGGGCTCACAGTCCCCCTCCTGCCTCCACAGCCACATTGCTAAAGCACAAATCTGGTCAATTCTTCCTCAGCCGAAAAGCCTCCCATGTGTCCCCGTTCCCTACAGGATGAAGCCCTAGCAGGTTACCACATATGATTGTGCACTGCACAGCCTGCACAACCGTACACAGTGGTCCTGAAGCCAACCTCAGTCATTCATTCTCTCAACAAGTATTCACTCTCTAGACATTCTCAGCTGGCACCCAAGGGCTCCAGTTCCTAACCCTAACCCTCAACCTCTCTCCTCTGCATTCTCTCATGCCTATTCCATTGGGTACCATGTACTTTAGCCACAACAAACACGGTACACCTTTTATACCTGTGCGTCTTATACACACATTTCTCCATCTGCTTTCTGTGAATGCTGAGACACTAGGATGGGAAAAAAAAACCCCTTTTTTTCCGCCATGAAGTAATTAGGTGGATAAGGGCAAGGTGGCCCTGTGAGCCTTGGTTTTCTAATCTGTAAATTTGGATTAGACATATGAAATGTGACTCACATTGCACTTGGCACATAAGAAGCTCCCCAGTAAAAGTTGGTTTCTCCCCATCTTTGCATGCTGAACTCCTATGCATCCTTGAAGACCCAACTCAAATGTTACCTCCTTGGTAACGCTGCCCTCTTTCCCTCCAAGGGGGTATAGTTTACCTTTCCTTGTTTCCACCCTTCCTGCCAATCCTGCCTGGCACTTGCAGACCCCTGCTGTAACACGGTCATGTTAATCTGTTTTCCTGGTTTACCTAGCAGCCATAAAACATTTGTTGCATGAATCAAGGCATCTGCCTCTGGGTTGGCCTTTAACCTCCATCTGCTCTGGTCCTAAGCCCTCGGACTATTGGATGGTACAGGTGTTAAGGATCAGATGGAACAGCTGAGGTGGGCAGCCTCGGCTCTCAGTGGGGTGCAAGTGTGGGGAGGGGACTGGGGGCGAGGGCGCCTCAGCCTCCCAAGAGAGGTTGCTGTGTAGCAGGGAGGAGGTAGGGTGGCGGTGTGGGAGTCTGAGCTTTGTGAGCCAGTTGGCTGTGCAAGGGGCTGTGCCGGGCTGCTCTTCTCCCTCCACATCAGCTCCGGCAGTAGCTGGGCTTTGCTGTGTGTCCAGGCACCTAGGACAGGAGGCTCAGGGATGGAATTAGAAGAGAGCAGAAAGGGAGGGTTTCTCTGGAGAGAGAGAGAGAGAGAGAGAGAGAGAGGATGGGCTTGGGGGCAGTTTGGGAAGAGAAGACCGATGAGGAGAGAGAAACGAGAGAAGGAGAGGAAAGCGAGGGAGGGCGGGTGGGTGGCTGTCCAGGGATGGAGAAATCATGGGAGAGGGGATTGGGGTGGGACTAAGACCAAGAGCTATGAGGCCTGGAGCCTCCTGGGGTGCCCTGTGTGGGTGTGAGGACCCTCCCCTCCCCGCTCCTGGCTCCATGGCTATGCTTCCTCCCCTCTGCCCTCCAGTCCTTCCACCCCCGCTGGACTGCCTGCTCTGCCCATTAGCAAAGTCCAAGTCATGCTCTCTGCTAAATCTTGGCAGAAAATGAGCTCCAGCAAATGCAGCAGAGACGATCATCTTCCAGGGATTTTATCCACGGCTGGGCCCAGTGGGGCCGGGGCAGGGGACAGAGAGGAGTCTCCATCTGACACAGTTGTTGGGTGGCGGGAGGGAAGGCAGAGGCTACGCAAGGGTAGTTCAAGGTCATTGGGAAGGTCTCTTTGCAGGCCATGCCCCTGCCACTGGGTCACCTAGCTCAGCCCACACGGAAGGAGGGGCTCCCCTTTCCTGAGGCTCTGAAGGAGAGCGGGTACCCCAGCAGCCCCCTCCTGCACCGAGACCCTCTCTTGGTGGCCAGTATTGGGTCCCGAGCTGTGGTGGAGCCTGGAACAGGTCTGCAAATGCATTATCCTGGGACTGCAGCCTTGGGGAGCTCCACCACAGGCAGAAGCCGAGGAGAGAACTCCCCAGGCCCAGGGTGGGAGGAAGACTCCACCGTCTTGTTCTTCAGGACTGAGCTGGTAGCTTGGGGTCATCTGGTTTCAGGGAGTCTTCCAGACGCCTCCTGAGTGGCACATGTGTCACCTGCCTCTCCTCGCCCTTTGGGGAGACTGATTGAGATCTTGGAACCCATCAGGCACCACACATACTCGCCTGAGGCCCGGGACACAGGGGAAACCCTAGTTCTTCTGTTTCCCTGGAAGAGTGGCAGGAAAGGGGTCATGAGGAAAGCACAGTGGGTGTGTTGGGCATGTGGGGGACAGGTGGCTTAAGCCAGCATTCCCCAACCTTTTTGGTATCAGGACCAGCTTCGAGGAAGATAATTTTTCCACGAATGGCGGGGGGGGAGTTGTATGTAGTCAAACCTCACTGCTAATGTGAATCTGTATTTGCAGCTGCTCCCCAGTGCGAGCATCACCCCCTCAGCTCCACCTCGATCACCAGGCATTAGTTTTCTCACAGGAGCTGCAACCTAGATCTCTGGCATGTGCAGTTCACAATAGGGTTCGGGCTCCTATGAGAATCTAATGCCACCGCTGGTCTGACAGGAGGTGGCGCTCAGGTGGTAATGCAAGCGATGGGGAGTGGCTGTAAATACACACGAGGATTCACTGCCTGCTGCACACCTCCTGCTGTGTGGCCCGGTTCCTAGTAGGCCACAGGTACTGGCCTTCAGCGGTGGTTTATGATGTGGAAGCCAGTTAAGCCTGTGTGCTGTGGCTAGGGGTGTGGCCCACCTGGTCTTCTCTGACACAGACCCCCCTGCCAAGGCCAGTCTCCATATCTGTCCAGGTCTCCATCTCTCAGGGGACAGCCCCACATGCCTCGGAACCCACTGTTGTGCCAAGATACACACTTTATTTTTCCTGGTGGGAACCACACAGGCACCTAGAGGACATGGGGGACCCTGCCAAGCCCCGGGCTGTGACCTTGAGAACCTCATCTAACATCCGGCAGACTTCGGGGGTGGGGCAGTGCCCGACCACAGGCTGGGTGGGCTGGTCTCAGTTTTTCCTGCCAGCCCAGGCCGCTCCAGTCCTACTCGGTTTCCTGGACTGAAATCATAATCCGTCAGGCCCAACCTTGGCCAAAGATAATGCGGCTTTGGCAGGGTTGGCCGCTGGGAGGGGCTGGCACTTGCTCCTCACAGAGCAAGAGTGGGTTTCTTCCCCAGCCTCCGCATCCACCGGCATGGTGTGGTTTCCTTAGGAACCCAGGCCTGCGAGACAAATGGTTTCAGCATCTGGGGGCCGGATGGGGGTGGAGGGGGCCGCAGGAAAGAGCCCAGCTTCCCTGGCATCTTGGGGAAGGAAGGGGCCTCTTTTGCATTCTTGACTCTCTGCTGCCCCCGTGTGGCTGTGAGGCTACACACAGACACAAGCTGTGGGTTGTGTGTGTGTGTGTGTGTGTGTGTGTGTGTGTGTGTGTGTGTGTGTGTTCACGCGTGTGTTGCAAGGGGTTCCGGGGGAGACTCAACTGAGGCAGAAATGGCCCTTATATCTGCTCTGGAGAGAACTGAGGCTTCCCGTCCCTACCCCAGATGTGCAGTGCTAGGGCAGCCGTGACACCTGCTATTGGAAGAAAAGATAAGGTGATTCTCATTGGCAAGGGGGAGGGGAGGGGACTAGCAATCAAGAATGTGAGGACAGCTGGGACTTCCCTAACCAGTGGGGCAAATGCCCCTCTGCTGAGCTGCCCTAATGACCACAGCCAGGTTGGCCTTCAGAATCCCGGGCAGGTGTGTCCCCAGAGCCATCAGAAAAGTGGGGGAAGGAACAGACCTAGAGGGACATGGAGTCTGTCCATTCCCTGCCTTGTCCTCCATCCTTGACCGTTGCCAGCCTCAGGCCAGGAGCTCCATGAGTCCCCACCCCGTGCCTGTGGTCTGTCGTGAAACAGAGGATGCAGCTGTCTTGCCCAGACCCTTGTGTTGGTGGTGTCCAGGCTGATGGGGTCAGAGGGTCCTTGGAGGTGATTTTGTGCTGGGGTCCTCAGATGTGGAATGCTTCAGAATCATGGAGGAGCATGTAAGGCCCACCCACATCTAAGAGAACAGCTGATCTTGTCTACTGGCTTCCTTTTATGATTGGGGAAACTGAGGCCTGGAGGGGGCTGGGGGGTGTGGATGGTGGTTACTGCTGAAGGTCACAGCAGGTTCAAGGCTTTCAACTTGATGCTGTTCCCCTCCAGTCCCATGGGATTAGCCCCAGGCCACACTCATTTAGGGCTGGAGGCGGGCTCCCAGGCAAGTCCCTGGAGGCGTCAGGCGGGTGTCCAGGCAGCGCCTACCCCCTACATCCTTTCTGTGTCCTGCAACAGAGCGCCCACGAGGCTGATGACTTGTGAGGCTGGCTGGACGGTGTCATACTCCGCGAAGAGGTGGCACACATTCTCCTGTGGCTCCGTCTGGCTCTTGGCCACAAACCCAAAGATCCTGGTTGGAGAGGGCAGTCTGAATGAGAGGGGTCCCAGGGAGGTACCGGGCTGATGGAAGTGGGGGGGTGGTCCTCAGCCTGCACCACGTTCTTCTGTCCTCTCCCCCAGCTGACTGGTCCCAGCACCTGATTATGACCGGGGCTCTCTGGGGAAGGAGCAGCCTTCACTGTCAGGTTGGGAGATTCCCGAGTTCCAGCTCTGGGTTTCCTTTGTTTTCAGTGGGGGCTCCCTGAAGACAGGACTGTGCATTCCCCATTAGAATGGAGGTTCTCTGAGGGTCAGGATAAATCTTGACCATCAGACTGGGGCATTCTGATGGGTTGAGGCTCCCTGAGGTTAGAGCCGTGCCTGTTGAATAAGACTGAGGGCTCCCAGGCTCATGTCTCCACCATGCTGGAGACTGTCTGAGGGCAAGGTCAAAGTCTGTCCTATCAGTCAGGAGCTCTCTACGGACCAGGGTCTGTGTCCCCATCAATACCAAGGGCCACGAAGGTCAGGATGGGGTCTCCCTCCTCCTCTAACTCCTTCCCTAGGTTGGGTCTGGGACCCTGCCTGAGAGACACCCCTTCTGGAGACTGACAGGACAGGAAGGCCTTACCGGGAGGGCTTGCAGTACTTCTGCCACCTGAGGGAACAGAACAGACAGAACCGAGTAGTGAGGCTTTACGCCATGTCCAGGACCCCACAGAAGTGTGGGGGAGGACTGGCCAGCTGCATCCCCACTCCTGCCATGTCCCTCCCTGCCCCCATTATGTCACCCCTGGGCCCTTGGGGTTCACAGGCTCTCTCTGGGGTGCAGTCCCAGAGTTGCCAGGACCCCTTGGTGGGCAGCTGGGCCCTGGACTTACTTCCGTTGCTCAGGGTCCATGCCACAGAAGCGGAGGGTGCCCAGGGGGTAATGGCGCCGGAAGAACACCCTGGGAGGAGGCAAGAGAAAAGGAAAAACAGGTGACAGCCTGTCCCAGGGCCACACCTAGCTTCATCCTTTAGGTCCCCCACAGCTCAGGTGCCTTGGAGGACCCGAGCTGGGCCCTGGGACTTTGTTTGTGTCCTCTCCTCTCACAAAATGTATCTGCCTCGTGTTCTGCACATTGGGGTTTCTACCATCTCTCACCATGCCATTTCACTTTTTTTTTTTTTTGAGACAAGGTCTCGCTTTGTTGCCTAGGCTGGAGCTCAGTGGAGCAATCATAGCTCACTGCAGCCTCGAACTCCTGGCCTCAATTGATCCTCCGATTCAGCCTTTCCAAACACTGGAATTACAGGTATGAGTCACTGTGCCCAGCTGTTGTTTAATTTATTCTTTTTTTTTTTTTTGAGTCAGTCTCACTCTGTCGCCCAGGCTAGAGTGCGGTGGCATGCTCATGGCCTCCGCAGCCTCGACCTGCTGGGTTCAGGTGATTCTTCCACCTCAGCCTTCCAAGTAGCTGGAATCGCAGGCATGCACCACCATGCCCGGCTAATTTTTGATTTATTGTAGAGATGAGGTCTCGCCAAGTTGCCCAGGCTGATCTCGAACCCGTGGGCTCAGGCGATCCTCTCACCTCGGCCTCCCAAAGTGCTGGGATTATAGGCGTGGGCCACTGTGCCTGGCTAATTTCTTGATGATAAGAATCACGTCTTGATCCTCTCTTGTTTCTCCCCAAAAAGTGCCCAGCCCGGGATCAGGCTCCTGTTAGACCATGAGTCCCTGAGCCCAGGGAAGGAGCCATCTCATTCTACTGTGCATCCCAGTGGTCAATCCATCCCTACAGCCCAGGGCAGGGGAAGACCCTTACTTCCTCTGGACATCGGTCAGGGTGATGCCCTGCTCAGTGACTTTGAAGTGGACCACAGTGGGCGTGGGGAGAGTATCCTGTTCGAAGGTGGTCGAGATGGCCTTCCGCACAGCCAGGGTGCCGGTCAGGGTCTCCACACTCACGGAGTTCAGGTACAGGGTGTGGCAGCCTGCGGGATGCAGATACGGTGCTGGGGTCACTGCCAGGGTCCACATGGGGGTGTGTGTGTGGGGGGCCAAGTTTACCTGATGGAGCCGGGGGGGGGTCACCTTTCCTCTTCAGGAACCCAGCGGGCTCCTCTTAGACCTACCACCCAACAGGTACGTGGGTGACTGCAATCTGAGGACAACTCCAGGGGACTTTGGGGTCTTCTGTAGCTTTGCATGGCCCTGGCCCCTGGCCCTTCGTGGAGGGGAGGATAAAAGGGGGGGCATTGCCCTGTGTGTAGGGGCATCTGGGAAAATTTCCTTCTGTCCAGGCCGACCCCCCTCCCCACATCTCCATCCTTGGACCGTGAGTCCGTTGCCCAGAGTAGGGTGAGAAGACAAGGAAAGATGGAGCCTTGTGCTGGGAACACAGAGTGGGAGCTGTCACCGAGACAAGTGCTGATCTGTGCTGGCCTCTGGGGGTGTGGGGCAGGGGCCTTTCCTGCAGTGAACCCTCCTGGACTCAGACCTGACTCCCTGCAGTGGACCCCAGACACAAAGACCACTTCCAGGGCAGATGCCTCCAGCTCAGAGAGACCCTTCATGTCTGTGAGTCCATGTGTGTGTGGGACAGGGTGTAAGCTCCTCCACCCCTCCCCGCCGCCCCACTTTCCTGCTGGCTCAGTGCCTGCAGCCTCTTACCTCCTGGTTTACATGGGGTGAGGGGGGCAAGGTACCTTGTTTGAGATACAGAGACAAAGCTGTGACGGGGAACGTGTGTGGGCCTGTGTGCGCATGGGAGGTGCCCTCCTGGGTGCAGCCCAGCCTGGAACCTGCCCCACCCCACCTCCATACCACTCACCTGCAGATTTCATCGGGCAGGAGGCCGGGCTGTCTGTAGAGGGGTCTGAGGCCCCATTGGCACCTCCCAGCTCTGAGTCAAGGCAAAGGAACAGGCCCCGAGGGGGCAGGGGCCTAGTGAATAGTCGTTCTCATAGGTATGCGCCTATGAATCCTTTGAACCCCTCCGGCCTCCGCCCCACCTCCAGGAAGTGACTCAGACCAGGTGTGATTACTGTCGTTGGGCACACAGGGCCACGGTGGGCTCCCCAGATGAGGAGCTTACGACCCTTCTGATCCCTCCTTCCCCTTCTCGCCCCCCACAGCCCAGAGGCTGCCGTGACCTTGTCCTCACAGGCCCCTGACAGCCTCCCTTCATGCCTTCACAGGCCTTTACTGCCTTTGGAGTCTGTCCCAACCCTAGACTTTTCTTTGCAGGAAGCAGTGAGCCTCTCACCTCCATCCCACTGGGGCTTCCCTGCCCTGACCCTCTCCCAAAGACACTCCTTCTCAAGCGTTTCCTGCACACCCAGAGGTGACTGCTGCTGGGCTGTGCGTTCTGCATGGGGCTTGCTGAGCTGGGCTCAAGGTCTGCCTCAGTGGGCCTTGGGGCCAGTCACTTAAGGTCTAGAATCTTCCTTTTCTTATCTGTGAAATGGGGATGTTAACAGCAAAATCTACTTCACAAGCATGAATGCTGGACCTGGAAAAAGGAAACCTTTCCCACCTCATCCAGGCTCTTTTATTCTCTCCAAGAAGGCTGCTATTTATCAAACATCTATTCTGTGCCAGACATCACGCTGAGAGCCTTGCCTGGGCTATCTTATGTAATCTACATGCCAATTCTATAAGTAGGTACGATGGTGATTGTTCCCATTTTATAGATGAGAAAACAGAGGCTCAGAGAGGTCAGCATTCTCCAGTTCTCACAGCTGGGAAGTGGAGACGCCGGCTGAGTTCAGAGCATGCGCTTTTCGCCGTGACACACAAATAATCCACAAACAAGGTGGGTGTGACTGCCTGGATCCTTTCTAGGAAGGACACATAGGCCCGACACCCCGACAAGGCTCCCAGGGCCCAGACCCACCTTTCTGCGGGACCGAGAGTTTGCAGGGCAGGGCCAAGGCCATGATAGAGTGCTGACACACGAACGCGGACAGACTTCCTGCGAAGGGACAGGCGCTCGCGTGAGTCGGGCTTCCCGGCTCCCCTCACAGCTCAGAAGAGCGGGACCCCCACTGCCCCCCCTGGGGCAGTCTGCCTAGGGATCGCCGAGGCTCACCAAAGTAGGGCTCCTCATCTGCTCCTTTGAGATGCACCCCTTTGGCGGAAGACTCGATGAGGAAGTGTCGAATGAGGTCACCGCTGTCCTCGCCTGGATGGAGAAAGAAGGAAGAGTCCTCGTGGATGGGTGTCCCAGAGCCCAGTGTTAGCCGGACATGGGCCACTGCGTTCCCTGGCCCACCTCCTCCGGGCCCATTCGCCTGCTTCTGGTGGAACCGCAGGCAGGTACCCGATTTTCCGGGCTTCCCACAAAAGAGGTGTCAGCACATTCACTCAAAGGCTTCGTGTCTGGTCGTTCCTCCTTTGGGAAACCTGCCTCTTGGTCAAGGCCTATCAGGGATGGCTCTTAATTGCTGCTTAGATCAAATACTAACACCTCAGTCTGGTTTCTCGCTCCCTCTGCCCACCAGGTCATCCCTGCTAAAGCCGGGGGTGGGGTGAACTACACCCCTCCGACCCGTCTCCCCAGCCCGCAGCCTCCTCCTCAGTCTGGGCCCATCGCCGCCCACACGCCTCCTGTGATGGCCAGCGCTGTCCAGAGTCCGCTGGCACAGTGTGGAGCGCACAGGACAGGGTGTTTCATCCTCGCCCTATCACTTCATTGCTCCGCAGCCATTAACCACTTCTTGCAGCCTCAGTCACCTCTTCGTGAAACCAGAGGTGGGGCCCTGGGGCTTAGGTGAGGGGCTGTGACCCAGGTGACCTGAACTGTAATGATCTGTTGTCATGGCTCCCCAGTGAGGTGGCATCTGTGTCTAACCCTCCCGGATCCCTGGGGCTCCACACAGTGTCTGGTATGTGGTGGGGGCCGCAGAGGTGGGTACAAGTTACCAGATGAGCACGGGAGGTCATGGGAAAGCACATGAGAAGCCATCGCACATGAGTAATGAGCTATTACACACATTATAGACAATCACATACACATGTGATGAGCTATTACACATATGTGCGATCAACTAGCGCACAGACATGATAAACGAGCGCACATGCATGTGATGGGCTATTGCACACACATGTACACACAATCACACACATGTGACGAGCAATTACACACATGTAATGGGCTATTGCATGCATGATAAGCAATCGCATACACACATGATGGGCTATTACATGCGTGATGAACTATCACACATATGTGTGAATCATCTGGTACACACGATAAATGATCACACAGACACACGATGGGCTATTACAAACATGTGTGATGAGCTAGTACACATATGTGTGATCAACTAGTACATACAAAGCTAGCACACATGTAAAGGGCTATTAAACATGTGATAAGCAATCATACACGTGTGATGAGTTGTCACAAACATGTGATGAGCTATGATACACATAATAAGAGATCACACACATATGATGAGCTGTTATACACATGTGTGGTGAGCTATCAAATACATGTGTAGTAGGATGTGGTGGCTCACCCCTGTAATCCCAGCACTTTGGGAGGTGGAGACAAGAGGATTGCCTGAGCCCAGGCACACGTCTCTTCAATAAATCAAAAAATTAGCCAGATGTGGTGGTGCCTGCCTGTAGTTCCAGTTACTTGGAAGGCTGAAGTGAAAGGATTGCCTGAACCCAGCAGGTCGAGGCTGAGGTGGCCATGAGCATACCACTGCCCTCTAGCCTGGGCAACAAAGTGAAACCTGAACTAAAAAAAAAACCCAAAACCATGTGTGATGAACTATTAAACACATGCGTGAGGAGTTAGTACACATATGATGAGAGATCACATACACATGATTAGCTAGCACACACACATGATGGGTGAGCTATTGCATACATATGTGATGAGCTATTATTATACATGTGATAAGTGGTCACACACATGATAAACTGTTACACACACATAAGCTAGCACACACATGTATGATGGACTATCACATACACAGGTGATGAGCTAGTACATACACATGACAAGCGATCACACATATGTGATGGGCTATTTCACACATGATAAGCTAGCACACACGTGACGGGCTATCACACACACATGTGATGAGCTGGTACATGAGTACTAGCGCACACACTTGTGATCACACATTGGGCTTCCTGGAGATAGATCCAGCGGACCCAGGAGAGAGCAGCCTAGAGGGGGTGACTTCTCCTCTTCCCACCATGGTAGAGCTGGCGGCTTAGGGGACTGGGGTGGTGAAAGCAGCCCAGGCTTGCTAGAAGGAGTTTTCATGACACCCAGTGCGGGAGGGCATCTGGGTGAGTGCCGGGTGGAGCTCCCCCCAGGAGTCCTCACAGGACTGGCCAAGGTCACCCTGGAAGTGAGTGTCAGAGCCGGGACGAGAACCCATCACACTCCGTGGTCTCTGGGAGGCCTTGCGCGAGCACAGGGACAGGTGCCTACCTGACCGGTTCTGGGCAGATGCAGGAGCCTCCTGAACCTTCAAGGCTAGGCCAAAGGAGCCTCGGTATGAGGAGCTGTCCCTCACGACGAAGGTCCCTGGCTCCTCCTTCCTCAGCAGCTCAATTGCTGGAATGACCCTTGAGTCAGAGATGGACACCGCCCCACCCGGATGCCCTCTGTCCCCAGCCCCACTGGATCTGCACAGAGCAGATGTTACAGAATCCCCTTTTGTTCCCAGGAAGTTCTTTCTGTTGTCTGATCTCCACCATGCTTGCTATAGTTCCTATTTCCTCATGAGGTCACAAGGTCAGCAGGACATCCCTCTCCCCTGGACCCACATCTGCCATTCCCTCTTTGGCCATGACCCAGGGCCTGCCTGCCTGATATGGCATGCAAGACCCTGACCTTGCTCCAGGGTCACTGGTGCTTCCTTTTACCTTGCTCTCGGGTGATGCTTGGCTTAAACCAGTATTTAGATGTGTCCATCACAAACTTCATGGTGGGCTGCATGTCCCTGCTGGGACCTGGAGGCAGACAGAGAAGGGAAACCCTGTAGGTTGGGTGGAGGGAAGCAGAGTGACCCTTCCCTGCTCTTCTGCCCAGAGGTCCCATTCAACCACCGTCCCAGTTCCTGACCCCTTTGTGTCTCCAAACTGCTTCAAGAGGGAAAATCAGGCTGAAGCATCCAGAGCTTGATGCATCTTGGACTCAGAAGTGCCCTTGTATCCTTGGTAGCGAATCAAACACACATCCATAAAACCTCAGTTTCATGAGAAATGGTTTCTCAAATCCACCACTGCCTGGTGGGGACTGAAATACGGGGTACATAAGGTATTTTCAGATGCATCGTGTTTGATATTACACCCTGGTCCCTTTAACAATCTTGAGTTCCCGAAGGGTACATTCATCTGGGGGGGGGGAAGGAACATGGAAGAAAAAGTGGAGAGGAGGAAGACAGTGGATCCAGGCAGAAGAGCAGGCCCAGAGATTGGAACCTGGGGTCTTGACTGTGATTTGGGACAGCTAAAGCCCACAGGGGACTGAGGGGATCAAACTACCTCAGAGGGTCCTTAACGCTCCAACAGCCTATGCAATTAAATTTTGAGGCTGGGTGTGGTGGCTCATGCCTGTAATCCTAGCACTTGGGGAGGCTGAGGAGGAAGGATTTTTTGAGCCCTGGAGATCGAGACCAGTCTGGGCAACATAGTGAGACCGTCTCTCTCCAAAAAAAAAAAGCTGGGCATGCTACTTGCCTGTAGTCCCTGGAACTCAGGAGGCTGAGGCAGAAGGATTGCCTGAACCCAGAAGGTGGAGGCTATGGTGAGCTGTGATTGTGCCACCGCAATTCAAAAAATTCAAAAAACTCAAACAGACCAAACTTTATTTTGAGCCTATTTTACAGAACTCAATGAGATCCCAGGGTATAATGAGTGATACTTCAGGACAGCGCCAGAGCAAGATGGGACTGTCGCCGGGCTAAGCAAATGTGTTCTTGGAGATGCCCAAATGCCCACTTTCCTGGATCTCTGAGGCAGAGAGCAGTAGTTCTCAATTTTGGCATCTTGAAAAGAAGTGCCGTGACCACTCACTCTCAAGTAACTCCTAAAAAAAAAAAAAAAAAAAAGCACTGAACTCTGCAAATGATTTGTCTCAGGAAAGCAACCAGAGCAGAGGCAAAGATACCCGTGACGCATCATTTTCTCCTGCTCATGTGGACGGGACTTCAAACCAGGAGGGAGCAGTGGGCCAGAGCACCTCACACCCTCCCCCCCAGTGTCATTGCGAGTTAGAGCTGAGAAACCCTGGGATGGAGATGGCCCAGGCACAGGACACAGGGACAGTGTTGGCAGTGGGCTCTGCTTGCGGGAGATGTACACCCGGGGGTGTCAAGGTTTAACTTCTGTGTTCACTGCTGTGGATTATGGTTGATCTTGTCCTTTTTGGACGGCTGTAGCCAGAGACTCCAGGAAGGAGAGTGTTTGCTGTTTTGTGGTTTCTGCTGTCTGAACTGGAATGCTTTGTCTCCATTACCCCACCCGCCCCCTCTGCATTCTTGTCATCCACAGACGTCAGTGTTAGGACTGACTAGCCCTCTCTCTCTCCTTGGGTTAGTCATCGAGCCTGCTGCTTCAACACCCCGAGGGTCGCCTGGCTCTGTCCTCTCTCCTCCACCGCCACTGCCCCACCCTGGCCCAGGCTCCTGCGATCCAGCTGTCATGCAGCTGCCAGACTGACCCACTGAGCGTGAGCCTCTGACGCCATTGCTCCCCTGTTTGAGACTCTCTGGTGGTCCCCTGTTGCCTAAAGTGTAAAAAAAAAAAACTACCTTTTAGCTTGGCATTCAAGACCTTTCACAATCTAGCTTTACATTGGTCTATTCTGCACCCAACATTCCAGCATTTTCTAGACATGCCATGTGCCCCCACACCTTTGTGACGATGGACTCCCTATTCTCTCTGTTGGGAATGTCCTCCTTTCTGTCTCTGGCCATGGATTTCTGATTCACTTCCCCCAGATTCAGCTTGGATGTCGCTTCCTCTGTTTTCCTGACTGAAAGAACCACTCCTTCCTCGGTGGTCCCATAAGACTTAGACTCCCATTAGACTTAGACTCTGTGTTCATCCTACTCTACAGCGATGCTTGGTTTCTGTCTCTTTCTAGACTGTCCATCGGTGTTTCCTAACTACCTGGCACACTGCTAGCACACAGTAGGTACTCGATTAATGTGCTGAATGGCTGTTGCAGAAACTCACTGGGGCTTTGTCTATTCTCTCAGCTAAACCAAAAAAAGAAAAAAACCCCTCAAACACCCCAATTTTGTTTTTGCTTGAGATATCGATTTGCAACATACCCTCTGGGCAAGTGGTGACGGGGGCGTCTGGCAGCGTCTGGCTGTGGCTCCTGGTGGCCAGACAAGGGTTGCTGGGAGAAGCAGCTCCAGATCGGACAGAGCCCTGGTGTTCCTGGGTCCGTTGGGGTGGGGGAGATCCTGGCTCTGGGCAGCCGTTGACCAGCACAATGGGTATGTCCACCATGGAGGTGGTGACAGATGGGGGACAGCTGCTGGCATGCTCTTTGACCAGTGGTGGGGAGTGGGGTGCTCTGAGCTGGCCCTTGCTCAGGGCTGGGTTGCCGGGAGTCTGGAAGTCACGAGGTCTCATGCATGGGGACACTGAGCCAAGGCTGTGGAGGCTGGAGGAAGAGCTGGCTGGGCTTTCCAAGGATCTAGAAGATGATGGATTCCTGGAGACGCCGGAGTGGAGGAGGGACTGGGTGCTGCAGGGCAAGAGAGCACCAGACGGGGTATTAGGTCGTTGGGGTCTGGGGGCCAGAGCCAGGCTAGATCTAGTGATCCAGGCATCCACGACTTTGGCCAAACAGAGCACTCCCTTCCCCATAACCCCGAGCAAAGGGCATGCCTTCCTGATTCTCCAGGGATGCTGAAGGACACAGAAATGTTCCGGGGTGGTCGGGTCTTGGCCATTTAATGAGCCAGTGGGCTGCCCACTGTGGGCTGTGGGCACAGACTGGCCCAGATTCCCTCTGCCTCCCAACCAGGCAACTCTCACTGAGCCATCACGCCAGGCTTTCCTTGCCTCCTCATTGCTTCCTGCGAATGGGCTGGACCTGAGCTGGACTGTGCCCACGGCTGGTGTGGAGGGAGTTCCCCAGTGGGCTCCGCATCCAGTCAGACTTCCCTGAGCTCAGAGGCCCATGCCAACGGGCATGGCTGTGGAATCTCCCGCCTCTTTGCCAGGGATTGCCCTGGCCAGTGGCTTTGGAGGTGGGGCAAGAGGCAGAGGTCCTGTGGTTTGGTCTTCATGGGGCAGAATGTGTGTGTGTGCGTGTGTGTGTGTGTGTGCGCGTGTGTGTGTGCATGTATGCATGTGTGTGTGCCGTCCTACCATGAGGCCCATGGAGAACTGAGCTGGGACAATGGCAAATGCTGCCCTGACAGGTTTTCCTCCCTCCTTTGCTAGGTTTTGCCAGCAAATTCTATATGTCCCTGTGTTTTGAGTTAAAAAAAACCCAACCTTTTCTTAGGCCTAGCACAGTGGCTCAAGCCTGTAATCCCAGCACTTTGGGAGGTGGAGGTGAGAGGATGGCCTGAGCCCAGGGGTTCGAGACCAGCCTGGGCAACATGGCGAGACGTCGTGTTTACAATAAATCAAGAAATTAGCTGGGTGTGGTGGCACGCATTTGTAGTTCCAGCTACTTGGAAGGCTGAGGCAGAAGAGTTGCCTGAGCCCAGCAGGTTGAGGCTGTGGAGGCTGTTAACGTGTCACTGTACTCCAGACTGGGTGACAGAGTGAGACTCCAACTCAAAAAACAAAAAACAAACAAGAAAACTTTCCTTCAGATGAACCCTTCCTTGTTCCAGGGCTGGAGAGAGCCCGCCCCCTTCAGGCAGCAGCGCTGTGTGTATATTGAGTTATATTTTAACTGCCTGAGGACCACCTGAGACCTGAAAGGCTGTGACGCAGGAAACAGAATATTCGCTTTGAGTGTTGGTGCGTGTCACTGGCCGTGATCAGACCAAGCAGGGTGCCCTGCTTTGATTTTAGGATCTGTGTGCATGGGCAGTGTCAGAAACCATGGAACCTACCTTCCAAACATGAAGCTGATGTCAGACGCCGGGCTTGCCGACAGCATGGAGACCCTACTGTCCCCCACCAGTGGGGAACTTGAGCCACGGGGGCCCGAGGCCTTGCTCCCCACACCAGGGATGGAGATGCTAGGAGAGGGGAGGGGGAGAGAAGAGGGACCCTCGGAGGTGGGCGTGGGGCGCTGGTGCCCCCTGCCCTGGCTCCCAGAGAAGATGAGGCTCTCGCTGCTGCTTCGGGTCTCTCGGGGGACATCTCTGGACAGGAGGAGGCTGCCACTGCGTGGGGAGCTGGAGGGCGGGGTGACAGAGGGGCTGGAGCAGCGCAGGGGGACATCATGGCACCGTGATCTGGCGGAGGTCACCTCGATGTACTTGATATCTTTGGGGAGAGAAGCAGAGCATTGGTGAGAGCTGGGAGACTGGGTTCACAGAACAGAAACACTGGAAGGGTCCTCAAGACCACCTGGTCCCCCCGCTTTGATAAACAGAGGAGGAAACAGGCCCAGGAGAAGAAGCTCTTTGGAATCAGGATGAGAACTCAACTCCGCCGTCAGGACCCAGGTCCAAAGTCACCCTCTCTGTGACGTCGTCTGTGGGGTGCAATGAATGCGGGCCTTGGAATCAGACAGGCCTGGGTCTGAGACCAGCCACTCACTACCTGAGAGAGCTTGACCAGCTTGGAGTTTCAGTTTCCACACCTGTAAAATGGGGCCACTTCATGTTCCAGGGAGGACACAAGGACATGTAGGCAGCACAGCACCATGCCAGGCACACCGCAGGTGCTTAGAGACTGGGAAATTATCTCCAGTGTCTTTGTCTCTCTCGCTCCCCAGGTTGAAATGACTGCTTGATGGAGGGCACCCATGACCCCTGCTGATGCCTCTGCTACCCAGGGTGTGTGGAAGTGGCTTCTCTGCGCCTTCAGGGAGCCTCGAGGGCAGGGAGTCTCGAACTTGGTTACACACTGAAATCCCCGGATGAGCTCTTAAGGTCCGATGTCCAGGCTGTAACCCATACCTGTTCGATCAGAATCTCTGGGGTGAGCCCAGCCCTCAGGTTCGTCTGTATTTTATTTTCACAGGTGATTCTGGGAGAGACACCTAGCCTCAGCCCTGCGATCCATGGCCTAGTCGCACTGTGTCACCTGGGCCTCACCCCAGGCCCGTCTGCATTTCTGCGAGACCCCAGGGGATCCGAGTGTGAGAACTTTGCCTGGAGTGGGTGCCTCCCACCCCACCTCAGAGCAGGGCTTGTGCGTTCCTGAGCTGTGGCCTTCCTGTGGCTGTCGTGGGTGCCCAGGGCTTGGTCACCCAGCACACCCCAGACCCTGATTCACGCCAGCGTTCTTTCCATTCCCTGGTGGAGCTACCCAGGACTCTTGGGATTCGTACCTGCTCTGGAGGTGAAACCTGGAGTGGGGTGCCCTGTGATTCTCCCCATGGTGACGAGGGACCCCTTTCTGTCCCTGGTGCCAGTCTGGCAAAGGTGGTGGAAGGCGGGTAAGTGAGCTGTTCCCTCCTGGAGGGCGTGAGTCCTGCACCAGGCTTCCTGGGAGGGAGACTGGGCAGTCGGGGAGAGCCTGCACCCCTAGGTCCCCGGCCCTGGGCTCCGACATGTATACCATCCCTCCCCCGTCACTTCCACGGAGCCCCAGCCTGCTCCAGCCTGCTCCTGGGCAGAGACTTCTGGCCCCGCTCACATGACTGCTTCTGTCTGAACCTGCTTGGGCAGCGACAGGGGGAGGAGAGGGGCTGTGGCTGACCGGGGCTTGCTTCTCAGGGGGTGGGGGAGGGGAGAGTGGCTATGCAGTCAGACAGACCTGGGGTGAGTCCTGGCTTTGCTGCTTTCCAGCCAAGAAGCATTGGGTAAGTTACCTAACCTTTCTGGCCTCAGTTTCCTAATCTGCCAAGTGGGGATCTGAAACCAGTCTTCAAGGTTGCAGTGAGGATGAACTACAGTGACGGCCTGTGTGGCCCATGGTGGGCCTCGAGGAGGGAGCATTTCCTGCTGGCCAGCTTTTCTGGAGGGCCATATTGGCCAAATGGAACCCTTGCTCTGGCTAAGGTGGGGGCCTGCTGAGAAGGATGAAGACAAGAGGAGAATGTTTGGGGCACTGTATTGCGGGCTCTGAAAGAAAAGAGATCTTGTAACGGGGCGGAATCTTCTAGAAGGCTGACAAACACTGCTTTTATTTTTGCAGGACTTTGTAGTATTTACACCCATAATGTCTGAGCCTCGTAATAGCTCTTGGGCAGGATAGGCACTGTTTTTACAAAGAAGGAAGCCGAGGCTCCGAGAAAAGTGAGCATGGGGCTAGCACTTATTTTACAACAATTTTCCATAAAGACCTGTATTTATCGGCTGGAAGTGGTGGCTCATACTTGTAACCCCAGGACTTTGGAAGGCTGAGGCAGGAGGACTGCTTGAGCCCAGAAGTTCAAGACCAGCCTGGGCAGCGTAGTGAGGTTTCATCTCTACAAAAACTCAAAAAAATTAGTTGAGTGCGGTGGTGCGCACCTGTAGTGTCTGCTACTCAGGAAGCTGAGGCTGAAGGATCACCTGAGCCCCAGAAGTCGAGACTGTGGTGAGCCATGCTCATGCCACTGCATTCCCACCTGGGTGACAGAGTGAGACCCCAACACACACACCACACACACACATACACACACACACACACACACACACACACACACACACACACACACACACTCACGTTATTTACTGGGTGCTCCATGTCAGCACTGCTACAACCATGTTACCTACATGAGCTCATTTGAGCTCATTACCTGTGGGGAATATTATTCACCCCCATGTAGCAGATGAGAAATCAAGGCTTAGAAAGGTTAAGTGAGTTCTCCAATGCAGCACAGCCAGGGAGTGGAGGAACCTGACTCCTGTTCCTGGGTTCTGTTTAGGGGACAATTCTACGGCGAGAAGGGGTTCTTCGGGACCCTGCTCCAAGGCCTTGCCCTGCGAGGAGGTGCTGGGCTGCTTCCAGAGACTGGGGTATTCCGGCCTAGGCCCCCTAATTGCTGGGCCGCCCAAATACCCTCCAGAGACCTTACTGGGGGCTGAGGAAGCACAGCAGGAGCCGGAGGGGCGGGAGGAGCCCTGGTGTCCCTGCCATCTTGGGGTGGGTGTGGCTGGGGAGCAGTT